GCTAGATGAATCTTCGTAAAACACCATTTGATGGTGGCATTCCTGTTCTCCAGAAGCATCCTTTAGATCTCAGTCTCCCTGATCCTAGCCCTGCAGTACTCCCCAGGAAATTCCCATCACCGTCACTGAAACCTGGCCTACATTTTTTTTTTTAAAATAAACTCCCCATGCTTTTCCCACATGTGCAGCTGATATGACTCTTACTTGTTTCTCAAATGCCAGTCTCCAGTTGCTTTTGATCCATCCTTTAAGGATCATTTTTAATGTAGTCATTGCCACAGAACCTTCATGCTATCTAATCATCAGATATGACTTGCCCTCCTCTGATCTCCCATTCCACTTTGTGGACTTTTCCTATGGCTCTTGGCACTAGCAACCTGGCATTGTAGTTACTTGAGTCCATGTGTCTTATCTCCCAGATAGAGCTAGGCCCTGAACTCCATGCGGGCAACTCTGCATCTTAACTTCATGAACCCTAGCCTAGGGCTCAGTAGAGTTTCTGTTACTTAGTGTATGAGAGAGACAGAGAGAAAGAGAGAGAATATGCATTGTTTTAGCTTATTTAACATATTTACATCTCAATTATTTTAGGTAGATAGAAGTACAAGGCACAGACTTTTGAGTTAGAATGGGCCTTTGAAAATCCTTAAATATTTAATGATATTTAGATACTGATGACTCAGGTATCCAGAGAGTTCAACTAATTTGCCTATTCCTGGATCTTCCAGTTTGGCCTGCTGGGTTATCTGATCTTGAATGTGTCATACAGGGAGAATGTGGCAAGTAGCGTCATTAGACGGTGGGTGCCTTTGGTCAGAAGCTGGCTGGTTCTCCTCAGCGTCCTGTTTTCTTTTTTCTGTGTAGCGCCAGGGCTCTTTGAGCTATAAAATTTCCTCTGTACAGAGACAGAGTAGCAAGGCATTAGCTCACTTTTAATTCTTCTGCTTTTTAAAAACATCCTTGCTTCCATGTTGATACTAGAGTATCAGACTTATTTAGTGTCTATTCTATGTATTTTAGGTATAAATTTGACATTTAAGAATACAGTTCACAGACACTCAAATCTCAATATAGTATATCTAAGCATAATAACAGACTGATACTATGTTTTAAATAACTGTACTGTATTGATAAGTAAATACATGATAATATGCTGCTTATATACATATACTGTTACTGAGTGGTATTTTTCTCTTTGGGCATTTAGGTTTCAGTCATGTCATGAGGTGTCTTACCCCGTGACATTCCTCCTTATAGGTACAAACAGTAAGATCTGTTAGATGCTTGCTAGAGCATACTGATCCACTATAGTTAAAGAGCACAATTACATCTTCCAAGTACTAAGATATTCTTTGCCATAATAATAATAACTTCCATTGTTTTCTAGCTACTGTCATCAGGCACGACGCGAGGTACTTTAAACTCATTTTCTGTAATCATCCCTACTTTCAGATAAATGTGACTGAGCGATAGTAACTCGCCACTGTTATCAGCTAGTGAATGTCAGGATTCAGATTGAGCCAGTTTTGTCCACCTAAGAGCTTGTACTATTTTCTCTACATTATGATAATTATACTCATACACTTTTTTGCTTTTTTATTTTGAAATAATTATGAGCTCATAGAACTTGCAAAAATAGAAGAGGTCCTTTACACTTATTACTGAGTTCCCTGCGATAACTACAGCCCTTTATCAAAACCAGGAAGTGGACTGGCACAACTAGACTGACCATACTTGGATTTCAGCAGTGTTTTCCATACACTCATTTTTTGTGTGCTTTTACGCACAGTTCTGTAGCATTTGATCCCAGGTAATCACCATCAATAATCAAGATATGGAACTGTTCTGTCACCACAAAAGAACTCGCTCATGCTGCCCCTCTAGAGTCACGCTATGCCTCCCCTCAACCTCTGCAACTACTTCTCTGGGCTCCCTCTCTATAATTTTGTCATTTCATGCACATTATATAAAAGGAATCACATAACACTTGACCTTTTAAGATTGGCATTTCTCGGCCAAGTGTGGTGGCCCACGCCTGTAATCCCAGCACTCTGGGAGGCTGAGGCAGGTGGATGGCTTGAGCCTCAGAAGTTTGAGACCAGCCTGGGCCACATGGTGAAACCCCTTCTCTACAAAAGTACAAAAATTAGCCAGGCGTGGTGGCACGTACTTGTAGTCCCAGCTACTTGGGAGGCGGAGGTGAGAGGTATACCTGAGCCCAGGGAGGTTGAGGTTGCATTGAGATCACACCACTGCACTTCAGCCTGGGTGACACAAGTGAGGTCCTGTCTCAAAAAAAAAAAAAAGATTGGCGATTTTCATTCCACATGATGCCCTTAAGATTCTTCCAGGTTCCATGTATCCATAGTTCATTCATTTTTCTTGCTGAGTGGTATTCCATGGTACAGATGCTCACAGCTTTACACTTTTTGAATTTCTAGATAAACCATGAGCTGTATTTATATTTTATGAATAACTGCTTATTTTCTGTATTGTATTTTAATATAAAAGGCTGGAAGCAGTGGCTCACACATGTAATCCCAATACTTTGGGAGGCCAAGGCAGGAGGATTGCTTGAGCCCAGGAGTTTGAGACCAGCCTGGACAACATGCTGAGGCCCCCATCTCTACAAAAAATACAAAATAATTAGCTGGGCATGGTGGCATGCATCTGTGGTCTCAGCTACTCCCAGCTACTCGGGAGGCTGATGTGGGAGGATCACTTGAGCCCAAGAGTTTGAGACTAGCCTGGACAACACAGTAAGACCCTGTCTCTACAAAAAACTTTAAAAAATTTTGGCTGGGCATGGTGGCTCATGCCTATAATCCTAGAACTTTGGGAGGCTGAGGCGGGTGGATCACCTGAGGTCAGGGGTTTGAGACCAGCCTGGCCAACATGGCAAAACGCCGTCTCTACTAAAAATACAAAAATTAGCCAGGCATGGTGGCACATGCCTGTAATCCCAGCTACTCAGGAGGCTGAGGCAGGAGAATTGCTTGAACTCAGGAGGCGGAGGTTGCAGTGAGCTGAGATCGTGCCACTGCACTCCAGCCTGGGTGACAGAGTGAGACTCCATCTTTTAAAAAAAAAAAAAAAAAAAAAAGCTGTGGCTGGTGGTGTGTGCCTATGGTCTCAGGTACTTGGGAGGCTGAGGTGGGAGGATCCCTTGAGACTGGGACGTTGAGGCTTCAGTGAGCCACTGTACTCCAGCTTGAGCAACAGAGCAAGAACCTATCTGTTAAAAAAAAAAAAAAAAAAAAAAGAAAAGAAAAGAAAAACTATTTGTAGCCCCAAAAGGTTTTTAAAGAACAAAAAATCAAATGCCCCTTAAAAATTTTTTTCTTAGGCCGGGCGCGGTGGCTCAAGCCTGTAATCCCAGCACTTTGGGAGGCCGAGACGGGCGGATCACGAGGTCAGGAGATCGAGACCATCCTGGCTAACACCGTGAAACCCCGTCTCTACTAAAAATATAAAAAACTAGCCGGGCGAGGTGGCGGGCGCCTGTAGTCCCAGCTACTCGGGAGGCTGAGGCAGGAGAATGGCCTAAACCTGGGAGGCGGAGCTTGCAGTGAGCTGAGATCTGGCCACTGCACTCCAGCCCGGGCTACAGAGCAAGACTCCGTCTCAAAAAAAAAAAAAAAAATTTTTTTTCTTTATTTTTCAAACTCATCTGTCACAGCATGAAAGAAAATTTTGGATTAAAAATGGTGTAGCCCTTCATGTCTTTGTCCCTGTAGATAGATATTTCATGTTATTGTAGTCACCACATATGTTGTATGCTGCTTTTTCCCACTTAAACTTATTTTTCCATGTACCATAATTATTTTAATAGCTGTGTGTATACTTGTTCCATCAAGTTGACTATAGTTTTTTCTACCCTGTTATCTACCTCTAGCTCCATTGAACATCTTCCTTTTGTTAAGTGATAGCCATAAGTTCTTAGTAGCAAAATTATTGGATCAAAGAGTAGGACGATTTTTATGGCGCTTTTAATGTGTGTTTTCTGGCATTGCCTTGAATGTCCACCCTGCCATATACTTACTAAACAAGTTATTGAAGCTTTGAAAAACTCAGGAAACAGGGATACTTCACCTATGTCCTGGAATGGTTGTGAGGATAAAATGAGATGATGTGTGCAAAGCCCCTATTGTAGTACCTGGCACAGAAGAGAGGTATTTCCTACATGGCAGCTGCTGTGATGATCTCCCGGTGATGAATGTGCTATTACTTGACTGACATGATTTCATTATGCCAGCAGTCTTCTAGACCACTTGCACCCAGTGTTGGATAGCAAATGATGGAGAAGCCTTGCTGTGCTTCTGCTTTGGGAAGTGCACCCATGCCAGAGACAAGCACCATTTCCAGATGCTTGGTTTCTAGTGGGGGAATACAGATGTGTAAATTTGTGGTAACAAGGCAGAGTGAAGCAAGTGATTAACAGCAGTCTGAATGAAGTGCTGTGGAACTTCCGAGGAAAAAGTGATGACCTCTGCCTGATCTAACTGGGAAGCAAGGCCTCATTAGAGGTGATGCTTGCTGAGCCAAGGCAAAAGTCATGGGGAGAATTTTGGTAGTTGGGAAAGATAGATCATTCTAGGCAAAGGGAACACCCTGAGCAAAGCACATGGCCTGATTGTGGATGAAGCATCTGAAGAATGAAGAAGTTTACTTAGTTGGAGTGCAGAATATTGTGGGAGAGAATCCTACGGAAACAGGCTAGACGTGACATCACGGATATCCTGGGAATGTGTACCTAGGAGTTTACTCTTGACTCCGGAGGCAGTGCACAATGGCAAATGTTTGGGGATGCATTTTGATTGCATAATTGACTGTTTTAATGCTTGCTCTGTCATGTGTGATCTGTATCATATTTTTGTTCATAAAGTGCTAAAAGGGCCAAGGTAAAATCACCCTGAAAGCATATGGTTGTTTTTATATGTTTTTTGATGTTTTAATTATACTGACAGAAATACTGACTATTGTATTTTTGTCCATTACAGGATTCTGCTCTAATACTTGATGTTCCTCTGGGTGTGATCTCAAGAATTGAAAAAATGGGAGGCGCAACAAGTAGAGGAGAAAATTCCTATGGTCTAGATATTACTTGTAAAGTAAGAGATTCGATACTTTCTTATGCAAAGAACAAGGCACGTTAATGTTGAATGATAGTAGAAAATTAATGTGGATTTGAAAAAAAAAATCAAGATCTCATGTTCATCTAAGGCCCTGAAAGTGGTTCTTCCCTTAAGAACAAGCTTTTCAAAAGTGCCTGGGAAATAGTGCCCACGTGAGGGACCCACTGCAATCACCAAATACAAGGACTCGAGGAACTGGTCAGTTTGTTAGCTTGACTGAGTGGGAAGAGAACTTGATAGATAAAATTTCTTAAACCACTTTAGTTTTTGCTCTAGCTTGCTCCTGGTGCCCCTTCATGTCATGTGTTACCATGAAGGAAGGAGGAATAGAAGAGATTTTGCCCTCTGTTAACAGGATGTGTCCTTACCTCTAATAACCTTCGTAACTTTTGCTTAGGTTATTTTCCGAGGTACATTTTGCTATGATAGTAACCATGTATTGAGCATTTGTGTCCATCCAAACACATGCTAGGTGCTTTGCATTTGATCCTCAAGTGCAGCCCTCTGAGATGGGCATATTGTAGATGGGGAGCCTGAGGCTCCAAAGAGTTGGGTAACTTTGCTAAGATAATTTCTGAAGGCTGGGACCCAGAAGTTGGGGATGTGTTCAGGTGTCTCGGGTGACTGTGAACCACCAGTCCAGTGCAGGGCTTTGCAGACATTTTCTGTGAAGGGCTCAGTAGCAAATATTTTAGGTTTTGTGGGCCACATCGGATTTCTGTTGTGTATTCTTCTTTGTGTGTTGTTTTTTCAACCCCTTTGAAGTGTTACAAACAAAAACAACAACAACAACAAAAAAACAGTCTTAATTTGAAGACCTGGGCTGAATTTTGCTGGCCCTTAGCCAATCCAAGTTGTTCATTCTATTGATAGAGAAGTGAGGCCTTTGCTATCTGAGATTACTTGTCTTGGGTTGCCTAGGGAGCCAGCGCAAGAGCCAGAACCAAAAACTAAGTCTCCTTTTCCTAGTCTCATACGCTGCGATTTCTCAAAACCAACATTGTGTGCTTATATTTGGATTATGCCACAATATGGTGTTTTTCTTTCCAGTTTATAAAAGATCAAGACTTGTTTTTTCTATCAGAAACTAAAGGATAATGCCATTATTAAATCTTAACTGAAATTCACCACTACCATCCACCTCAGCTTTTTTTGGTGGTGTTTTAATTCAAGGTACCTTAATGCTTTATCCATTATCCCAGCTACTGTCTACCCTTTGGGGCCTAGAAACATGGGAATTTACTTTGAAGGAAGGCTTTTGTATTTTGCATAAAAGGATTTATGGGAGTAGAGTGTTTAATATTAGAGTACTCAAGGGAAAATGGGGTTGCTATATTGACAGTTTTGAGGTGACTTTCATTCTTACAGGGTTTAAAAAATCCTATTTTCTGCCTTATAACAGGAAAAACTAGTACTTAAATATCAATCCCCCCAAAATTAATGAGACAAAGCACATTTTCACCCCTGACTATTTAAGAACAAAAGGCGTAGGAACAACTCACCACGCATAATTCTGAAATGTTACATATGTATATTTTTTGGAGTTAGCATGAGCCCAAAGGTGATGGCTTAGAACAATGTTGTAGCACAACCTTTTAACTAAATTATCTCCCCAGAAACACTGACGTCACAGAGTCATATTCCATTTTCTCAGTAACAAACCTGACATTGATATAAAGGAAATCTGCTGCAGTGAGATAAAAGACTCACTGTCCTGTCTCTTATAGGTCAACTTTCGCCTGCATTCAATAACCATGATAGAACCGCATTTCTCTCCTGAAACAAGTAGTTACAACTCCTGTAGATTTGGCTATGCCAGCGATGCACATAGAGATTTCTGCTTGCCAGTAGCAACTTTCCCACAGTAGATACAAGTCCCAGAGGATGTTGTCCAGCAGCAGGAGAAAGGTAGTTCTGAATATGCAAATTCTTACCCTGCAGGCCCCATACTAGCCCCTGGTGCCTGTGTGGAGTCTTTCAAACAAACAACAACAAAAAGTAAAGTAAAACCATACCACCACAAAGCCTTCTCTTTCTTTCCCCACCTCACTCCCATGTACTCGCCTTAAAGACATAGTGTGGCATTTTGAAGTGAGCAGTGATGTGTGTTGTTTCTTTAGAAATGACGCCTCAATAAATCAATTCTTCAGAGTCGTTGCAGCAGGGGTATGTATTCTTCAACTCTTACTATAGTGAGGCTTGGAACATCACCATATGACCCGGCTGTTAAAATGGCTGAGGGTCTGACTGGGAGACTCTTAGCCCATGTGGATCTTTCCCTGATGAGTCAAACTCTGAGGAGACCAGGTGGAACTTCCAGTTAGTCTGTGCTCCTATTTCTGTTACAGATTTGGTGATCTGCCGCCTGTGAGTCATTTGCCTTTTCTACTTCAGTTTTGTTGGCAAGAAATAATATTCTGTCTTTAATTGCATCTTAATCAGATGGCAAAAAGAAGTTACTTGAATCACTTGTGCTTTGGCACATTAAAAGTAGCTGTTTGAATCACTGATAGATCAGAATAAATATTCATGTAGAGATGGTCTAATTTCTGGCCAAGCAGTGAAGAGAATGATGTTACAGAGTTACCATCCGACTTGCGGCTGTTAGGAAGAAAGTTTCTCACAGGGCCTGAGCCCTGAGAGTACTCAACTCTCTAGTATTGCACTTGTGACTGGTCGTAAACCCTTTTAATGCATATCATCCCATTGAAATGATTATTCCCCTTATTTAACTATTCATTGCATCACGAACCAATAAATAGTATCCCAATTTTCTTGGGAGCTGATATGAATGGATTGTTGGACTTTATTCTGTGACATGCTTTTTAAAAAAGCACAGAATCTTGGAGCTGGCAAGGCCTAGTAGATGTCATCTGTGTACAGAGTGCTCAATCTCAAGTTCTTTATGAGTGGTCTCAGACTTTAGTTCTTCATACTTTATTTGCTGCTATTTGTGTTTGGAGATGTCTTGTGAAGGCCATAGCCTGTGCTGGTCCTTCAGACTGAAGACTCGGGAAGCGTTAAGAGTACTCTTGAGATAAGGAAGGAAAAAGCACCTAGAAAAAAAATGAAGATTGTGATATCCAGGAGGGCAACAACTAGGTCTGTACCACTCCTGAAGTGGCTCCATGGTCCAGCATAGCACTCCTTTATCTGCAATTAAAGTTGAAAGTGCACTGCAGAGCGTAGGGTTCCAGTGCAGAGCTATCACTCAGTCACAGCACTGTAAGTGATTTTTTTTAAAGAGACAACCTTAAAAAAACTCCAGTCTTGAAAATAAGATAGAATGTTGTATCTGTATATATAATACAAATTGACATTTAAAGGAGCTTATTTGTTTTGGATTTGGTTTAAAAGAAAGTTTTCCTGCTTATTAAACAGATATGTATTGGAAGCTACCTTTAAAATCTGGTTTTGATGTTTATTTTTAGTTCCCAGAAGTATAGTTACTACTAATATGGGCTACTTTAATGTGACTTATATGGAACTCTGTGAAGGTAAAATTGTAGAATAAAAATATATTACTTGCATGAGAGCTTAAAATGTCATTTAGGAAGAGAGCTTCTTTATTTTAATGACATGTTTGACAATGTTGAGATTATATTTGATAGCAGGTACTCTTTAGAAGGGCTGTTTGAATAAAATAGTTTTATAATTAAAAAAATATCAGGGCTGGGTGTGGTGGCTGACACCTGTAATCCTGGCACTTTGGGAGGCCGAGGCAGGCAGATCACCTGAGGTCAGGAGTTTGAGACTAGCCTGGCCAACATGGAGAAACCCAATCTCTACTAAAAATACAAAAAATTAGTTGGGCGTGGTGGTGTGTGCCTGTAGTCCCAGCTACTCAGGAGGCTGAGGCATGAGAATCCCTTGAACCCAGGAGGCAGAGGTTGCAGTGAGCCAAGATCATGCCACTGCACTCCAGCCTGGGCCACAAGAGACTACGTCTCAAAAAATAAGTAAAATAAAATAAATTTTAAAAAATTAAAAAATACCTCAGAAATCAGTGAAAGTAGATGGACCATAATAGATGTTAAATACCTCAGAACCCAGTGAAAGTAAATGGATCATAATAGATGTTGTGCAAGGCAAGGTTTGATTTTTTTTTTTTTCCTTTTTATAAAATGAATTTTAGCTCTATCTTCTCCTTAGTGCTAGTTGCTTTATCTTGTCTTGACATTCATGGCTATGATGGAAATATTTTCAGGTGTTCTTAAGCCAGATATATCAAATTACCATATAAAACAAAGTAAGTTTTGTAATTTAGATTAATTGCCCTTTTAGGTAAGTGAATCTTCTCCCTTAATTGAATGGAAGATTTCTTGCTAATTAACATGACTTTCTTTGAAGACTGAACTGTCGTACTTCTCCTTTGCCCCCAGGACATGAGAAACCTGAGGTTCGCTTTGAAACAGGAAGGCCACAGCAGAAGAGATATGTTTGAGATCCTCACGAGATACGCGTTTCCCCTGGCTCACAGTCTGGTAAATTCCAGCGCGCTCCTCAGCGTGGGAAGGTTCTCAGTGCCTCCTCTGTGAAAACTGCCCGCGAGCTGGGATCCTCTTTCTTTTACTGTCTGTGTTGTATTTCCAGTGTGATGTGTCTGCGGGGGTGTTTATTAAATAATTTCATCATTTCCAGAGGGAATAGGCCTCTCCCCTGTCAGTCTGCGTGGGAAGGATCGGCCCAGGTGACTGAAACACAAAGCCCTGGAGGCTGGCAAGAGCCCTGCATGAGCCTGGGAGCTTCACCAAGGGCACCTTGTGCTCTTCCAACCCCGAGTGTGCCCTCAGTCTTGGCCATCCCGCCTGAAAACGTAGGCGATAGTGAGGCGGACTCGGGTGGCTGAGTGCGACACTGTGAGGTCATATCCCAGAGTTCATTGCTTTCACCTTTGGAGCTAATAAGCAATGAGTGTCAGGCTTTTGTGGCTCCAGTTGTAAATGGGAACAAACTCTCTGAGTCTAAATGCCATTTGAGCAAATATAGATGTGTGGTGTAGGTACTGCACCAATAGCTGAATAGGGGCAGGTTTACTTTTGAAAAGAATAACCTTTCAAATGTCATTTGATCGCATTTAGTATGTAATTGGCAGGACCAATTTATTATACATTTAATTAGTTGTAATCTATGACTTAGTCCAAAGGTGATTCAGTATATGTACCTAAAACTTTTCCTTCCTCTTCACCAAACTACTGGAGTAACCTTACTCTTACTGCATGACTGAAATAAGCCTTTCTATGAGTTTTGCTCTTAGAATGATATTTCTTTATATCCTGCCTCAGCCTTACCTCCTTTTTTACTGCCGTGCCTTGCTCGAATCTTCTAACCCCTATCTTCCTCGTCAGTTTGACTTGAACTTAGATGCAAATACCTGCTAAGGGGAAAGTGAGGAAATAATTATTTACAACATATACTGTATAAATGCCTTTATCTTAAGTATAGGATGATCATACTGCAGACTAAACCCAAGGTGATGGAGGGGACCCTGAAGTAGAAGAGGCATGTGTTGAACACAGATGAAACTGTCATGCTTGGGAACAAATGTGCTCATCTCATAATTGAGTCTATTTTCAGCCTTTTCTAAGTTTCTGATTAAATATGTGATTTTTGAAAATATGTCTATATTAGAGTTTTTAATTCTATTAGCATAAAAAGAGAGTCTGATGGGAACACATCTTCTTAATTATTATGAAAGTGAGAATTTGAGTCTAATTGATGAAAGTTCAATTAGGAAATGTGTTCTGTCTTGATTTATGCATATCTGGCCCTAAATTATCAGAAATTGACAGAATGGCAGGTTTGAAGGAGCTGAAGACCCAGTCTGTCTCCTGCAAGATCTTGCTTCATCCGACATCCCCTTTCTCTGGTATCTTCTGTTTCTTCTAGGATATACTCCCCTCAAAAAGTCAAGTGCTGGACCGGCTTTCCCCTTATACTACTGTCCCATCTTTCACTTCATTGCCAAACTTCTGGAAAGAATATTCTAGCCTATCCTCGTCTCCAGTGCATTCATTCCTCCAACCCATTCCAGTATGGAGCTCATTACTGGCCAAATCTAGTGGCTCATTTCCATCTCATTCTGTTTGATCTCTTCCCCGGTATTCAACCATTTTGACCACTGTCTTCTTGAAAGTCTTGGTTTCTGTATTCCTGCACCATCTTGATTGTTCCTTTCCAGTCTCCATTACCTCTGTCTTTTCCTTAAATGTAAATATCTCTTCACTCTCATCCCTCTTCTCTTCTTGCCTTAACTTTGCCCTGATGGTTTTGTTTAAAGTCATCACTGCTATGTAGATGACTTCAGATCTAACCCTGATACTGTCCTTGAGTGAGTCCAATGAGTCTAACCCTCAAATTCCTTCCTCTGAGAGTCTGAGAATCACAAGCTCAGCTGGCACGGTGGCTCACGCCTGTAATCCCAGCACTTTGGGAGGCCAAGGTGGGTGGATCACTTGAGGTAAGGAGTTCGAGACCATCCTGGCCAACATGGTGAAACCCTGTTCTACTAAAAATATTTTTTAAAAATTAGCTGGGTGTGGTGCTGGGCACCTGTAATCCCAGCTACTCAGGAGTCTGAGGCAGGACAATTGCTTGAACCCGGGAGGCAGAGGTTGCATTGAGCTGAGATCGTGCCATTGTACTCCAGCCTGGGTGACAAAAGCAAAGCTCCATCTCAAAAAAAAAAAAAAAAAAAGATAGAATCACAAACTCGTTGTTGCCCTCACCTCTTTGCAGTTCATGAAACCCACCTTTCATCCTATATGTCCCACAAGTTTGAGGATCCCCAGTTGTTTAGGTTTGATAACTTGAAGTCAGCTTTTCAATTCCTCCCCTGCTATTCCTCCCACAGGCACATCAATTCTGAATCCTGTAAGTTCTACTTAGTAGCAATACCCAGCTATTTCCTATCATTTCCACTTATGCTTCCTACCTTAATCCATACTTCCAAACTGGCTTCCCTTCTTTTAGTTTCTTCCGCTTCCAGCTAATCCTACACAATGCTGTCAGTTGTTGTTTTGTTTTTAAATATGATCATGTTACTGTTTCACCTTCTACCCCCCAAAAAACCCCCAGTTACTTTTCATAGCTTGTGCCCTACACTGCAGCTGCACAAGGCTGCCCTATGCTCTCCTAGCACACACAGTACCTTCTTGGTTCAGATTTTGCTATCCCCTTTACCTGCAATCCCCTCGTCTCTTGCATACCCATCTTCCACACACTCAGACTTCAACATCTTAATCTGTCCTCTGTCCTTTTCCAGGCCATATGCGTGTGCCCCCAGTGAGAGTTCATCTTACCTCTCAATTGTTAGTCTTTGCAAGTTCCTCTATCAGAGCACTTATCTCAGTGTGCCTTATGAAATAATTTTGTCATAACTGCCTCCTACCTCCCCCTACCACTGCCTGATAAATTATGAGCTTATCAAGGCAGGGATCAGCCTTTATTTCTCTCTCTACTGTCAGCACAGTGGCATCTGCATGGGAGTTTTGTAATGATGGCTTTTTTCTTGAACTCAGGTTTAGTAGAAAGGAAGGAAAAATCACTATATGGAAACAAATGAGATGGATGTTTCTGAATATTGCAAATCTAACACCAAAACCTAGAAATCTCTGTTGCTATTATTGGAGTCATCCACAGAGGGCTTGATTTCTCAAGTCTGTGGTACTTGGCCATATTTTTCATACCTGTGCTGAGAATCCCTGCTTCTTGTTTTAGGAAGTCAATAAAGTAACAAACTGCCAAAAAAAAAAAAAAAAAAAAAAAAGGTCAACTGAATTGCTCATCTGAAGTTTTAGAAAATGACATTATCTTAGGTTTTGATCACTGAAAGTCATCCTTAAAAACATTTGCCAGTCACCAATATAATACAAGATACAGATTGAAACAGATCAGCCCTTGAACCTGCTTTTGGAATAGCAGTCCCTGATACTCAAGTCCACATGTGCAACTGTTTCATCAGTCAAGTTCATTTCATGTCTTGTGTTGGATAGTGTCAGGATGCAGTGGGGGCATTCAAGGATAAGTAGTGTGTAGGATGAGTGGTACCTGGTCCCACTGAGGGATGTGACAGCCAAACAGTAGTGATGTGACAAATATGGTTAGCCCCAATATAAGATAGTATACATTCAGTTGTGCAAGAGAAACACAAAGGAAATCCACTGGGGACTCACAGGAAGAAGAGACCACATCTAACCAAAATTGGAAAAGCCTGCATGGAATTGATAGTTGTTAGTGTAGGGCCTTGAAGGATGGATTCAATTTCCAGTGAAGGACTTCTGAGGTCTGGAACTTGAGTGATGAGGGTAGGGCACTGTCCACAGAGTAGGAAAGTCAGAAAAAGATTTTATTTGCAGAAACAGGTGGAAGAAAGGGGAAGGGGGAGGAACAATGAATTCTGTTTTGGACACATAGCATTTCATGTATTTTGACAGAATTGACAGCAAGCCACTGAAGGCCTGCCCCTCAGAAAAGAGTCTGGAGATGTAGATTTGGAATAGGTTCTTAAGTCATTTGAAGTTATGGGCTCCTTTGAGAATACGAAGTAAATTATAGCTTCTCTTCCCCTCAAATATGCAGTCATATACAAAACCTTACCTAAAATTTTAGAGGACGTCGGGCCCCTCTGAAGCCCCTTTGTGGGGCCCTAGTAAAGTAATCCTGGTATGTAATAGAGAAGTCCCGAACCAGAATCTTGGGAGAGGCCATCTTTTAGGGAGCGAAGATGGTTGCAGAGGCAAGGGAAGAGCCTGGAAAGGATTAACAGGATGTCATGGGTGTCAGTGCTGGGAGAGCCAGGGAGATGGATCACAAGCTCCCTGGGGAGCTGACCTCCTAACTGTGACCTGCTTAAAGTCGGGACCTCCTTTTATTATCTTTGCAACTCTAGTGCCCAGTCCAGTGCCTGGCATATATATATATATATATATATTTTAACTTTTATGAATCTCAGAAAATGATCTCAGGGTGAAGGGAACAAACACCAGTTTGCAGGTGTTTAAAGGAAGCATACTTGGTTTAAAAAAGAGTAGCAGGCATGTTGAGGGAAGAATGTTTTTACCGTAGAATTTGAAAAAGGAAAATGAATATATTTGTGGAAAGAAATCTTGTCTCTTCTCAAGGCACGAGAGAGAAGGGATCTTTTCTTGAGCAGGATCCTGAAGAAGGCAGAGGGGGATGGGACCCAGCCCAGTTTGTGGGGCAGTTTGGGAAAGGAGGAGGGACCGTTATTTTTCTGAGACAGGAGGGGAAGAAAAACTTCCTAACTGTCACGGTGGGGAATGTGGGAGTGTGCCAAAAAGGGCTTTCCTGGAGGTAACATAAGCCCCATTGCCTTGAGCAATACAAAGGGCCCCTGCTCGAAAAAGATTGCTTTGTTAATATTACTGGAACTGTTCAGCCAGCTGCAGATTATCTTGGTGATTTTTATTGGCATTTGAAGTCAGAAGTGAACTTGCTGTTGCATCTGTGAAATGGTGTCTGG